GGCAAAGCAGCTACACCCTTCATGAATCTGGGCATAATCCCAGGCCTTGCGCCAGGCACACGGTGGACAAGAGCCACCCTGCTGGGTCAAGCACCACAAATGCCCCCCCGAACCTGCCTGGGGGACGTCCCTCCTCCCCTCCAGCCCTGGGACAAGGCCTGCTGACTCCATACAACTTTCTCACCCCAGGGCAGTGAGGCCCAGACAGAGGGGATCAGGTACGGGTGCAAAGTGGGGGCATCCAGCAGCTGTCTGCAGAGGAGGCTGGGGTACCCCGTTTTGGCCAGACTGGAACAGCAGTGCCCACCCTTTGCCACCCGCAGGCCTCGGCACAGATGCCACCAAAACCCTCATGCTCGCTTTCTCCAGGGCAGCCCAGCCACGCTCAGTCCCAGGCCCTGTGAGCACAGTGCCTGGTCACCTTCTCCCCAACCAACACATAGGCTCCTCACATCTCTGCCCAGTCTGGCCACTAGGATGAGTGGCAGGGACAGGGAAGCCACCTGCCAGGCCTAGCTATGGGTTTCTCTCCCCTTTTAGCTTTTATTGTATTTTATTTTTTGAGACAGGGTCTTACTATGCTGGCCAAGCTCAAGATGACCCTCCTGCCTCAGCCTCCCCTGGGCTGGAGTCAGGGGTTCCTCACCATGCTGGGCCTTCACACTCCCCTTAGAAAGGTCACAAGGAGCCTTTGGCACTCTGGGCTGGTGGCTTTGAGATCCACTCCAAACTCCAGACTTGATTTTCCAAACCCAGGAACCTTGACAAGGGCAGGATGGGTGCACCCTCAGGCCCCGGGTCCCAGCTTTGCAGAGCACCAGCCCTGGGCCTCACCCTTTCCGGCTGGGGTGCCAGCCTTAGCAAGGGCACCGGGCCCACAAATATCAGGAATTCTTTCCACCGAGGGCAACTGAGAAAGCGCTGGTTTCTGCTTTCCTGGCAGCTGCAGGCCATGCAGGAAAGATGTTTAATATGAAAACATCTCGCGAAGCACCTCAGGGTATATTTCCTGCACTGAAGAGGTAGCTCTTGGCAAAGGCTACTCTACCCTGACAAGCAAACTCTCGAGCCAGGCTCCGGATTGTTCTGGCACCTGGGGACAGCATACCAGGGGACAGGGCAGCCCAGGGCCCAGGCAGAGGGCTGCGATCAGGCTGGGTGCAGCCCAGTGACATTCACGAGCAGCAGTGTCATAGGTCTGGCCCACGAGGTGTCCTGGGGCGTCAGCCCTGGACAGCATTCCACACCCCGAGCCCCCCCCCCCATCACACAGGTGTCCTGCCCCTTAGCGAGTGGAGTGCTGCTCCTGCTTTGTTCCTACCCTGTGACTTCCCAGGGCAGGCAGAGAGGACATCTGCCAGACCTGAGAACCCACCTGATCATCCTGCCTTCCAGCTGGGTGACCTCCGAAAACTTCCCTACCCTCTCTGGGCCCCAATAACCACTTCCTTGAATTTGGCCAATAAAGCCACCACCTCGCAAGCTCACAGAGATGTGGGAAGGCTCCACAAGTGAATATGGATGAGCCACAAAGAAGGGCTGCATCTCTGTGGGAGCTTCTGGTCCCAAATATTATACAGGATGAGCTTTCTGTCTATCTGCTCTCTGTTCCTGACCGAAACTCACTCATTCATTATACAAACCATGGCCAGAACTGGTGCTCGATGGCCTAGAGGTTCCTCAGGCACCAAGTACAGCACGGAGTTCCCCAGCCACAGTGACCACATCCCCTCTGCTCTGTCCATTCCTCTACTTTTCAGGACAAGGAGATCACACCTGGATTCATCTTTCCTGTCATCTGAATGCAGCCTGTCATCTTCTTGGCAAGCTCCTAGTCACCCTACAAAATCCAGCTGAGAATCACCATCTCCACGAAGGATTCCCTGAATACCCACATTCCCACTCAAGCAGAGAGACCTGGCCTCTCAGACAACACACTCCCACTCTGCACTGCTTCGCTCAGGGTAGAGTTTGCTTCTGGAAAGTCATGAGAGGAGGTGCTGAGAGACACTGCAGGCCTGCAGCCCCAGCTCTCCGCCCATCTGTGAAGTGCTAAGGTGACAGCCCGGACCACACTGGCACTGAAGGACCAAAAGATCAGCTAAGCAACCAAGACAGTCGAGAATTGGCCTCGGGTCACCCAGAAGGGAAAGGCAAAGCTGAGCTCAGAATCACTGGATCAGGCATGGCGGCACACACCTGCACTGCCAGCTACTCGGAGGCTGAGGCACAAGGATCGAGTTTGAAGCCAATCTGGGTAATTTAGTAAGACTACTCAGTCTCTGGAAGGGGGATGGGACACCTTCTCTGGTGCACTGTCCATCCCAATCCAGCTTGGCTGGGCCCTCTCCAGGCAGGGCCTGTGCGCCTGAGCTGCATCCCTAACCCTAGGCCCTCTCAAAACTGCCTGGTCCCTCCCACGTGCTTGCGGAAGTCACTCCGGTCCTCCCGCGAGTGTGGAGGCCGAAGCTGAGTTCTCCCTTCCCTGCACAAGGCAAGGAAGCTGGGCTTTGCTGCGGTCAGGGGGTGGGGAGCAGACACACGGATGGAACCTTGGGGTACTCAACCCCGGGTTACGCCCCAAACCCTTATTTTATTTTAACTTTTACACAGGGTCTCGCTAGGCCTCGAAAGGAACTCAAATGTGTGCCTCAGCCTCCCAGAGTGCTGGGATCACAAGCGTGCGCCATTGCGCCTGGGCTTTGCCCGAGCCTGGCCGACCTCAGCCCCCTGCGGGCGTCCTGACCCCTGTGTGGGGAAGAAGGAGGGGCATGGGCTGCAACCTGAGCGCCCGCTAGGAGCGCCACACCAAACGTCTCTCCTGATCCCCAAGGCCAAACGGAGCCCTCTCCAGCTACCCTGGACTCCCAGCTCCCCGGCAGCCCTCTGTGGCCCACCAGGCTGGACGGGCACGTGCGCGCCCTGTGCTTAGTAGTAAGGTTTTAGTAAATCTCACTCAGGCCCCAGCTGCCACGTGCCTCCTCTCCAACACCTGAGCTTTCCTTTGTCCCTGAATGCACGTCGCAGCGGCAATCACCTCTCCCAGGAAGCCTCCTGCGCTGCGTCCTCCCCAGTGAGTCAAGCCCTTGTCCTGCCTCCCTCTGCGCCGCTTCCCACTAGCTGTGCGTGCGTGAGTAGCTCAAGGGTGGACAGGGCATCAGGTCCATCTCTGCCCCTCGCCCACTCCCTAGGACCCTGGTATGGCCAAGCCCGCCTGCACGGAGTCTGGCCGCTGCTGACTCACAAGGAACACTTCCCATTAGGGACAAGATCTGTATCACCCCCACTTCCAGGTGGGCGATCCGTGGGCGGAGCCACACAATTAGCCAATGCCAGAGCCTGCGCAGGAAACCACCCCCAGGGTCACGCCCCCACCCGGAACAAGAACGGGCGGTCGGCGATAGAGCTGAGAAGGGCACGGCAGACCCCAGGCCAGGTCACACAGCGCACGCGCGACCCTCGCCAGAGTAGCAAAGCGCACGCGCGGCGCGCCCTCCTCGCCACCCCGCAGTCCTGGCTGGACGCCGGTCACCACCGCCCAAAAGTCTCCTCCTGTCTCTGTTCCCAGGCCCTGTCTCCCGTGGAATGTGGCCGTGGGCAGACACATGGCTGGGAGAGGACACATGTGACATCCAGCTGCGACCCCACGGCTCGAGTCCCGCGTGGCCCCCTTCTCTCCCTGGCTCTTGCCCTGTGCAAGCCTTGGTCCCTCACTCCCACGCCACCAGAAAGGCCTTCTGGTTCCTGCACAGGCAGCTCACACTGTGTTTTCCATTCCATAGACTCTCGATTAGAGGATCAGGCATTCTGTGCTCAGCACTCTGCACCCTGCATCTGGGCTGGGACCCCTTCTCTCACCCTGGGCATAAACTCCCAGTCGCAGGCCTTCTGTTCTCCTAGCCCACAGAAGCAAATCCCCAGACCCTCCTGCACCAGCCTTCCCCTCACCCCCATCAAAAAAAAAAAAAAAAAAAGGATTGCCTAGCAGTCACTCTCACCTTCGTATGAATTTCTTTAACTAGTGCCTCACACCTAACTCCCCCAAACTAACCTGCAGTTCAGGAAAAGGGGAAAGACAAACAGGCCCAGGGACAGCAACCTAGAGCCTGAGTCAAACAAGAAACCCAGCGTCCAGAGGGCTCCCCAAAGGACAGCACCGGGCTTTTCATTCTACTATCATCCTGGCTCCCACACTGCAAGCAACTTTGGTGGAGCTGCCTGTCCCTGAGCTACTGCTTTCCTCCTGTGTTATGTGGGCGTCTTGTACAAGAGGCCGAGATGGACTGACAATGTCCTGTCAGCTCTTCGATCTCCCTCTGCTGCCCCGCCCTGCCACCAATGGGTCCTCACCTGCCAGCACCTGTGACCGAGCCCCCAACGTCCCTCAGGTGGCTGTGACAGCAGGACAGGGACTGTGGAGTAGTAAGTTCCAAACTAGGCTCAGGATACTTGCATATGAGACAAACAAGGGCAGCCTGCATCCCAGGTTCCTGGACACTTTGCTGGGACATAACGCCTATCTCCAGACACCAGAAGGCACAGCTCTTGGGGACCCCAGCCCCTGGCAGCTGCATCTGTGCTGTCCATGGGGTTTGACACTGGAAGCCAGGTCAGTGAGATATCCTGTCCCCTTGTCACAAAATCCCCTCCCTAGAACCCAAGTGAGGATAGGCCGCCCTGGACTCCACTCTGCCCCTTGGGTCTGGAATGGGGAGTCCTTGCTAGGGGAGGCTTGGGAGTCACAGGCTGGGATTCACATCCCAGCCCTCCTATGGACAATCTGAGCCTCTGAGCTGCTGGCCTGTTTCTGAAGCTACAGCCTGGGGAGAGTCCCAGCCATCTCGTAGGCTGGGGTCAATGTGCCAGATGTCACAGAGGTGGAGAACATCAACAGTCTCAGTACTGTGCATGTCATCTTCTGTCATTACTGTCACTGCCACCACTGCTGCCAGTCTCTGAGCATCAAGTGTCCCCACCTGACTCTCTGCCCCATCACCCTCCTGCCACCATTTGGTCTATCTTTGCAGTAGAACCTGGGGGTGCACCTGTCCCCTCTGGGCCTACCTCTATAAGTGTGACAGCCAGAGCAGCCCCCAGTCTGGAAGTGCAGGAGGGGACACACATCCTGCTAGGAAGAGGTATGGATGACCAGTGAGACAAATGGGCCACTCACTTCCCAAGGCCACCTGGAGCTCAGACCAAAGCCCGTTGAGATCTCATGCAGCCTGCCACAGGAAATCCCACATTTTTTCCCCAAATCTTCTGGACCCTTAGAATTCCAAGCCACTGAGTGCAAAATTTTTCCCCCAGAACAGGGGATTGAACTCAGGCCCTTGCGCTTGCAAAATATTTTTTAATGAAGCCACGCATCAAAATCAGCAGTGACTGCCTTGTTTCCCAGTACTAAATAGCCTGCTCTTTTTAGGGAGCAGAAATCCCAAACACTGCCTGACTGGACCTCCAAAGTAGCCCAACCTACTAATACAGCTGGGTGGAGGTGGCATCTGCCGCAGGCCTCCCAAGCTCTAGGGGGCGCTGTCTCCGGGAACAGATTGGAGGCAGGGCCTCTGGCAGGTGCTCTAGGGTATTCTCCTTCTGGCCGCCCACCCACAGCCCCAGCACACTGGGGTCACATGTGACTACCTGTAGAAAGACAGGTAGAAACACACACGCAAGTCGCCACCGTTACAGCAGGGCCAGGGGCCGTCCGAAGGGCCCATGATCTAGACCATCAGCACAACACGATCTGTCTCCATGAAAGTCTCGGGTTGCCCCCTGCCCCAAATGCCGTGGAGCTCACATAGGCGCAGAGGAGAAAGCAGGGACTGCACTGTGAGCCTCTCTCTGCGCTGGGCCCGGTGTTCAAGGGAAGGAGCTCAAAAGCAAAGTGGGCCCGGAGACACAGAGGAGAACAAAGCTACCCAATGAGAGGTGCCACCGGAGCCCAGGGGACAGACAGGAGAGGACCAAGGGGACCCGAACCCTGCACACGTGTGGTCAGAGCAGCCAGTCCTGTCCCTCCTGGAGGTGGTCACACAACCGGGGGAAGGGCTGGGGTCACAGCCAGGCAGCTGCGGACAGTCCTTTAGAGTGGAGGGTGACAGGCCGAACTCTGTACTGAACCCATTCATCAAAGGCCAGTGATCGAAAGAGAGTATACAGCGGTGAGGGACACAGACCCCGACGCACAGGCTCTCACGTCCCCCAAGTCCCCTTTCCTCTCGGGTCCCCTGCCCCAGAAGTCCCGAGCTAGTGTGTGAAGGGCCCCATGCAGGGCCTGGCATGCAGCAACACCCCTAATGGGAGATTTCTTCCTCGGGCTGCAGCATGGTGTCCCCGCACCACCAGCCGAGTCCCTCCGGACCCGACATCCCCAGTCACTGCCACCGCTTCCTCCATGTTCAGGGGTTCTTCAGGCAGCTTTCAATTACAGGAGTGGGGACTTTTGATTATCGAGGCACAGCCCCCGAATTAGGGACCCACACCAGGCTTCTCTCTGCTTCCTGTCACAGGCCCCAGTGCTCAGAGAGACAGGGGACCTCTGGCTTTGGGCAAAGGCCTCATTTGCCAGCCCCTCCCTGTGCTCCTCTTGCTGCACTTCCGCCCTGTTTGGACCCTAAATGTCAGTACTTCTTTCTGTGTGGGGATAGGAGGTAGATAAACATAGGGCAGAGTCCCATGCCATGCTGTCCACTACAGCGGGAAGATCCCCTGCCAGGTGACAGCTGGAGCCTGCTGGCCCCTCAGCCTTCCACAGGGACACCGCAGTGGGTTCCACTCAACTGTCCCTCAGCCAGGGGCACAGTGACTCGGACACTGACCTTCTTCCTATGCAAGGGGTAGGAGGAAGAGAACCCAAATGGGGAGGGGACATCCAAAAGACATCCGCCAAGCCCCTGCCACCTGTCTCTGGCCGCAGTTGAACACGCCAAAATAAATGCCAACCTGAGAATTCACCCAGAGCGGTGATGAGGGAGTTGGTGGCCTCCGTTTCAGTGTAAGACAATGTGGAATCGGACAGATCTGCAGGCAGAAAGAGAAAAAAAATACTTAGTTGGCTGGCAGGGCTGCATGCTCTGATGCATCCGTGTACGTGTCTGTGTGTGTGCGCACGCGTTTGCTTGTGTGGGTGTACACACGTGTGCATGTCTGTGTAAGTGCGTGCATCCAAGTGCTGGCAAAGGAAGCATAAGGTGACCCCTGCAACTTCTGTCAGCACGCTTAGTCTGCCCGGGATCACTGCGGCCCAGCCTGGAACTCTCCTGGTAGATGCAGGCTGCTGAGGTCCTGGTGTGTGAAAACATAGCCAAGAGCCCAAGTTCAGGGGCCTGAGCAAGTAGCAACTTGGCGCGTCCCGGGCAGGGTGAAATTAAGCCCCGAACAATTCAGAGTTGCTGTACTTAATTACAACCATTAAAATTCTTGAAGGTGTTCCTTCTTGCTTCCTTCCTTCCTTCCCTCCTTCCTTCCTTCCTCCTGCTAGAGCTGGGGAAACTGTTGGAACAAGCCACAGTCATCTTCACTGTGTCCCACTTACACCCCTCTAATTAAGGGCTCAACATTTGCTCCTAGATTAACTTTCTTCTCCCTCTCTTTCTCCTGCTCCTCTCCCCTGCTCCCAAGCACCCGCACATCCTTGTCACATAATTTTCAAGGCCTACACTGTTTGTTTGTTTGTTTTTTAAAGGTGCTCTTTTAAAAAAAAAAAAAGTAGCTTCCAGGCCTTCATGTGGCCTGCAGTATTTGCTTTCTGCCTGCAGGGCAGCGGGCTGGGGAGTGGAAATCCTTCCGTTCCGGAGCTGCTAACCTGACAGGCCACTGAGTTCTGGGACAGGCAGGCTTGAGACCTGGCTCCTGGGCCTGGCCCTCTGCTACCAGCGGGGAAGGGACAGAAGGGAGCAGGGAGGCTGCAGCCAGCGCCCCCAGATCCAGAGGGCCTGGCCCCACCTGGCCTACTAGAGCCCCAAGGGCCAGGGATTCCAGGGCCAGAACTGAGAGCCTGGGCCCGAGCTCGCTAGAAGGCCGCCTGCTCCTGTAGGAATTTTTTCCCTTTACCACATGGTCTGGAGAGCGGGAAGATGAAACATTAACCAAATCGCCTTTTTTCTTTTTCTTCTGCCGTACTTGCCAGATGCTGACTGGGTATTCTGGGTTTTATTTTGTTTTTTGGTCTCATGTGATCACAGAGGCTCAGAAGCAAACTGACTTTTTGTTTATGAAAAGCCGCAATGCAAGGAAAAGAAAATAATACCAAAAAAAAAAAAATCACACAAAGCCCTCAAACTATGTACCAGGGCACAAAAAAACGTCATCTGCTGGTCAAAGTAGTACGATGAAAATAGGGGCACATGGAAAATCGTTAAAATAAATACAAAGAAAAGCCCCTCCATGTGTCTGGAGGAACATCATAATAGACTTTTGCTCCTAATAACGAAGGTCCCCAAGTGCTCAGAGCCACTTCCACCAAGGTGGGGACACCAGGGGGCTGAGTCCCCAAGGGTGCTGCTGGCTCTCACCTTTCAAGGGTAGCAAGTCCTCCTCAGTCACCTTTCACAACGTTTCCAGAGGGCCCGAGGGGCAGCTCAAGATAAAAACAGTCCTGACTTGCACATCGCTGCCCAAGCCCCTAGGAGGCACTCGGTTCGAGCCTCGCCTCCCCAAACAGTGAACTCAGGGATGCTGCTCTTTTCTGTCAAAAGCTGCACATGGAAGAGCTTCAGCTTTCAACCAGACAGTTCGGAACAACTACGCCCTGGGTCTGTCTAGTGGAGGAGCCCAGGGCCGTCTGGAGGTGGCCAGGCGTGACTATGTCCCTGGACGCGAAGTCTAAATAGCATGCCATTTTCACAAGTCAGGAATCATTTGATTTTTTTTTTTTAACCATTTGAAAAATAATAACCATTTTTAGCTTGAAAGCCATATTGAAACAGGAGTAGACTGAGTCCAGTGACCACCAGCAATGCTACTTCCTTTTTCTGGGCCTCCACTGTCCCATTCATAATAAAATGGGGACATTCTATGGTTGCCCCAAATGGTCACTCTGCAGGGTATGTCCCAAGTTGACGGACAGCCCCTTGGGGGCATGAAGCCCTGATGTTCAAACTAAGCTGTTATATTTTTCTATGAACTTTCCAGGGTTTTGTATGATTTTCTCTGCTGAAACTAGGGATCATCTATGAGATTAGAGCCATGACACGAGCTTAGTCTGGAGCGGCAGGGTGGGCACCCTGGACCTGAGCGGGGACTGCACCTTCTCAGTTCCCCAGCAGAGCCTGCAGCTCCCCAAGACCAAGGTAGGGGCCCCTAGACCTTTCTGGAACAAAAGCCAGGGATGCCATCCCAATCAGCCACTGACTCGCACACCCTCTTGGGGCATCTCTGCCCCCATGGCGAAGGTCACACTACTGAGGGTATCCGGCAGCACCCCATGCCTTAGGGGATAGGGGGCTGGGGAAAGAGAAGTACAGCCCTGAGAATCCAGAACCCTCAGATGTGGCCTCCACCTCCTCTAACCAGGTGGTCTGTGTGTGTGTGTGTGTGTGTGTGTGTGTGTGTGTGTGTGTGTTACCTGGGATCAAACTCAGGACTTGCACTTGCTAGGCAGGCACTTAGGCCGCTGAGCTGTCTCCCTAGTCCCATTTCCAGGTGGTGTCTTCACCCACAGCCAAGCCCATTCTGTGGCCCAAAGGGTGTTTACTCACATCAGTGCCCACAGCCCACAGAGTCCCCAGGTCACCAAGGCACTGTCCTAGGGCTGCCAGCTCCAGCACAGCCCTGCTCAAGCCCCACACTGAGGACTGCTGGCCGGATGGAAAACAGGGTAGAGAGCAATCGTTCCTAAAACCTGCATGGATCTCCCCGAAGTATGAGCTGATTAGTTAACCCCAAGATTTTATAGAAAACATGCCCTGCTCTGAACTGACCCTGGTTAAAATGAAATGGCCAGCAGGGTGTGGGGACGCACGCCTATCATCCCAGCACTCAGGAGGCTGAGGCAGGAGGATCACCATGAGTTCAGTGCCACCCTGGGCTGCATAATGAGTTCAGGAGCCGCCTGAACTACATAGGGAGACCTTTTCTCAAAACAAGAAAGAGAGGGAGAAACACAGCTCCTTCTTACTAAGACTTGGCAACCCACCTGTCACACTGCTAATTAATTCACTTTACAGGAGAACAAGGGGGGGGGCACACACCAGGATCCCAGCCCACCCCAAAGCTCTGCTTCAGTCAGATCCCACTCACTCCCACGGTGGTGTTTAAAGGTCACACGAAGGTTAATGATGCGCCCTGGAATTCCCAGATGTAAACAGCCCTGCAGGGAGTCAGCTTGGGCCAAGGATGGGAGCGTTTGCAAAGCTTCAGCCACCTCAAGTCACACACCCTGCAGCCCAGAGGACACTTACCCAGTGGCTTGTACTCTTCGGGAGGAGACAGCCGAGAGTAGGGGGGTGGTGGTGATTCTGGAAGGCAAGAGAGCTGGTCACTGCTGGGGTTCAGACCACGGTTCTTCGTGTGTTTATATTTTTTATGGCTCGCGCTCTTAGGGACAGGGCCTCACTACATAGTTCAGGCACAGCTTGAACTCACTATGTAGTCCAGGCTGGCCTCGAACTTATGATGACTCTCCTGCCTCAGCCTCCCCAGTGCTGGGATCAAAAGGGTGCACCCCCACACCCAACACTATTTTAATGATTAGTTTCCTCAAATAATAACCTCAGCTCTCAGCAAACCGTCCATTTCTCCCACCACCTCTGCTCCCCAGAAGGACTAGAATAGGTAAGGCCACCAGCCTGGGGTACAGACAGATCCAGGCTCAACCCTCACTCCACCTCGGAAGGCTGTGTGCGCTCAAGCAAGTTCCTGCACCTCTCTGAGCCTGTGTCCTCTACTATAAAGTGGGGATAAGGACCAAAGGCCGCCCAGTTTTCCTGGAGGGCAAAATGGGATAAAGTGAGCAACATGCGCAGCTCAGCTCAGCTCCTGCCGCTATAGGAAAATGCGTCTGGGAGAGGGATCTGCAATTACGACCCAAGGGCGGGAAGGAGTGCCAGGGAAGTCAAGGCCAGTGGTGGCACGTGAAATACGGGGTGCTGAGTTCAGTGTGAACTTGGGGTGAACATGCATCATGCTGGTAGTACAAGCACAGTCCCTGCAATGCTTCGGGTTTGCTAAACTAAAGTATGTTTGTGCCAGGCGTAGTAGCACACACCTGTCATCCCAGCACTGGGGAGGCTGAGGCAGGAGGAACACTGTGAGTTCCAAACCATTCTGGGCTCTATAGTGAGTTCCACACCAGCCTGAAGTACCCAGCAAGTCCCTGCCTCAAAAAGCAAACATGTACACACACACTATATACATATATAATTTAGCCGGGCATCTAGCAGTTTATTTGCTAAATTTGGCAAGCCTCATCAAAGCTGAGGGTCCCCAGATTTGGAAATCTGTTCCTAAACAAGAGGCATCAGAACCAGCATCCCAGGGGAGGGGGCAGGGCTGGCCCCAGGAGACACCTGGATAGGAGGCTTTGAGCCTCACACCCGGGCCTCAGTCTCCCTGGCTGGGAGGAACAGGCACAGGTTTGGATCCGGCCTCCAGCTGGAGCTCTGTGAGTCCTCATGGACACAGTGCTTCCTTCCTGCTTCCTGCTTCCTTCTGCGTTTCCCTTCATTGCCTATGCTGCACTCTCTGAAGAATCTCAGCCTCTTGCTTTAGGGGAAGTAACAATTTACCAAACTAAGTAACAATTTGCATGAATGAAATGACCCTTCATTTTCCATATGTGAAACTCCACACTGTCCAATCACCGCTGCAGGTGAGCCAGGCCGCCATAAAGTGGTAATGACTATTATTAGGCAGTATCAGGAGCCACACGGGGTAATGAGTGTTTTTTCACAATTATAATGGGGCACAATTAGCTGTGCTCTATACACCCCATCAGGCTTCGCTGCTCCTCCAACCTGCCTGGCTGGCCAGGCTGAAGGCTGGGACCAATGCTGTGGGACAGAGCTTAAGAGGGGACTCAAAAGGATGTCACCCTTATCCTCCCAGCTTCATACTGTCCTTTACTCTTAGGGAGAGGGGTGGTGAGACAGGATCTCCATATATACTGCAAGTGCCCTTGACCTCACTTTGTAGCCCAGGCCAGCCTCAAACGCTGCAACCCTCCTGCATCAGCCTCCCAAGTGCTGGGATTACTATATAGCCATGTGCCACCATGCCCAATTTTCTACTGTGTTTTATTCTTGCAGACGTGAGGTTCAAAGTAGTGCACCGTGCTCATCAGACGATTGTGTTTACTTAACCGTTTCTCAAAATATAAAAATAAGATGACATAGATATCCCTATTTTACACATGAGGAAATTGACCTGCCCCAGCCCCCAGCCTTCTGGTGGAGCTAGGACTGGTACCCAGGCCTGGAGGTCCACGAGACAATGATCCTGGGGATGACAGTGATGCCGAGAGCATGGAAGGGGACCCACAGGAGACCTCAACCAAGATGCAAGGGGGAGGCTCTGCCAGCACTGTTCTCAGAGCAGAGCTATGCCAGGTCTCCGGCCTCTCACCTTCTCTGTCACCCTATGCACAATTCAGAAAATCAGCCATGGGGCCGGGGAGATGGCTCAGTAGAATAAGTGCTTGCCTGGCGAGCACAAGGGCCTGAGTTCAATCCCCGGTTCCACCAAAAAAAAAAAAAAAAAAAGAAAAGAAAAGAAAATCAGCAATGGCAAAATGTGGTTACATTCACCCAGCTCGCTGGCTAAGGCCCAGTGGCACGTGGAGTGGCACTCCAGGCATCTGTCCCCAGAGGCGAAGCCAGGCAGCATGGCAGGGCAGTCAGGGCACAGCCACTGTTAGCAATGCCAGCCTCTCTGGTAGGGCATGCAGACCCGAAAGCTGGAAGGCAGAGGGCAGCTAAGGCTCATGGAGAAAGCTCCAGGCCCTGGAGTTGGCACCCACCCACTAAGGCCACACCTGGGCCAGGAGCTTCTAATGTCATCAGGAAGACAGAAAGAAAACCTAGGAGCCCACAAGGCAGACATGCCAGCTAGGGAGGGGCAGAAGGGCACCAAGGGGGCTTTGCCAACCGTGCCCCCAATGACCCCTGCCACAAGGTCTGAAGAGAACCATTCAAGCATTTCTCCAAGGAAGCGGACTTGGGGGTCAGCATGCACGTCCCACTCCTTCCCTTAAGCCATATGGCACCTGACATCCAGGCAGGGAAAGGACCCGAGGGAGGCCACACATGAAGGCAGCTGCAGATGTCTCTCCCTGGTGCCCAAACCAAGGGGGATCAAGACCAGATGATCTTTTTAAAAAGTTTGTTTGTTTGTTTGTTTGTTTGTTTGTTGAGGTATCATTCCCAAACCATGACATTTGCCCTTTGAAAGCAAGCAAGCAGTTTAGTAGTTTTTACTTTATTCAAAGGGCTGTGTGACCACCGCCACAATCTAATCATAGGACATTTCCAACACCACAGGGAGAAATCCTACCCCTACTAGCAGTCACTTCCTACACCTGAACCCCAAACCCTAGGCAACCACTCTTACGGCTTGTGTCTAGCTGGCCCCCAAAGCCTCATGCAGTCATAGGTGGGGCTTTCCCTGAGCTAGGCTGGTCAGGAGTGGGTGACACTGGGCTTAAGGGTGGGTGATTACTGATCAGTCCACTGCCCTAATCCTGGTAGCCCAGACAGAATATAAAAGTGGCCAAAGGCAGCTGCTAGGATCCCTTGCTTCCTTTGCTACCTTCTGCGTGCTCTGCTATGAGCTGTCACCTCCGCGATGCCCCTCTGCACCACCCTGCCTTGGAGCCAGCGTCTACAAACTGAGCTAAATAAACCGTTCCTTCCTTAACCGATGGGTGTTAGGTATTTTATCTCAGCAAGAAGAGGAAAGTAACTAAGACGACCGCTAACCTTTTTGTCTCTGTAGATTTGCCTATCCTGGAAGATTCATGAAAACGAAATCACAGAGCTGTACCCTTTTGTGGCCCACTTCTTTCACTTAGCAAAGCGCTCTCAAGGCTCGGCCATGCTGTAGCCAGAGCAGTCCTTCCTTACTCAGGGCTCAGTGCTATTCCATTGTGTGGATGTACCACATGTTATGTATCCACTCAGCAGCTAATGGGCACGTGGGCTGCTTCCACTCTCTGCTGTTACAAATGGCATGCTCTGAATAATACTAGATAATTCTGGATAATTCCTAACTGCCGCTCCCACTCCACTCCCACACGGAGTCCGGGGACAGGAACTCAGGTCAGGTAGGATACCCCGGGAGGGATGCCTGGTGGATGAGATAGTGTCAGAAGGGAAACTGAGTCGCCACCAGGCCCTCTGCCCACCTCTGTCTCAGAAGATGCCCTGGTACTTGCCCTGTAAAAGTTGGAATAAGGATTTTTTTTTTTTTTTGGTTCCTCGAATGCCTTCAGGGCACTATTGGCCAGCGGGAGAGGTGTGAGGTTCGAACTCCAGCAACCTGAGGCTGACAGCTTTGTGGAAGCAGCCACTTAAAGGCCTGAGCTAGGGCCAGGCCCCCTGCCCTGTAAAAGTTGTTGAGAGACTGAAATAACTCATATGTTCTACACTATTTCCTAGAGCCCTCAGGTTCTTCTGCAGGTCACAGGCAGAGAGAAGAGAGAGAAAACTAGAGAGAAAAAGACCTCAGAAACTGCCCTGCTGCCCCCAGTCCAGTCTGAGTTTTCCATGTCAGGGATCTCCTCCCAACTTCCTCCTGAAGCAGGCAGCGGGGCCAGGATCTAGGATGCACCCTAGGCTAGCCCAGCCCACCCAGCCCAGCCCAGCCCAGCCCAGGCCACGGCAAGCCAGTCCCACCTCCACTCAGTGCCCCCCCTGCGAGGGGGGTGGGAGCTGAGCCTTCTGGGATCCCGACCTGCATTTGGAGCCAGGAGCTGGTTCACAGCCGCTTCTGTGGCTGGCCACCCTTCAGCCTGGGACTGCACCTTCTACCTCCATCCCAGTAGCCCAGCATCTTGCTTGGAAAGAAAGTCTGGAGCCTCCCAGGGCCTGCCAGGGTGCCTCCCTGGATGGCTGGGGAGGGGACCTGTCTCCTCCTCCCCCAGAACCTAGGGCCTCCACCAAGCCCTGGACTGGGAGAGCAGAAAAGGGGCCCCCGCCACTTTAAGGCCAGCAGAGCCTAATTGCCCAGATTTCCCCGGCAGCCAGATAAACAGTGAGGCCGGCTGGCGCCAGTGAGAGGCAAACTGCACATTATCACCCCTTCCTCACCTCCAGGAGGAGCGAGGAGGAGCAGGCATGGCCTAGGCCAGGCGGGCAGGGCTGAGAAGCCCAACTTGAAATTGATCTCATTTCAAAGGGACAACGCCAGGCCAAAGCAAAGGAAAACTTTCGAGCCGGTCTAATTCCTCCAGTCCTGGCCTGGGAACCCTGTGTTTTCCTCTGAAGCCTCCTCCAGTGGGTTAGCCATTTCTCTCCCTCTCTGTCTCTCTCTCCCTCTTTCACTCCCTCTCCCTGTCTCTCTTTCCTGAGCACAATTTGGATAATAGTAATTTACTGAATATAATTACAGAAAAAAAAAAAAAGTGGTGCCGCACAGAGCAGGAGACTTATTCCAAAGTTAATGGATACTTTCGGGAGAAAGGAGCTCTATAAACACAGGTCAGAGCTGTGATTAAAGTATTTCTCCACATTTCCGTCCACATAGGCACCCACGAGCTCAGCTGCCTATGCCCCGAGCAGGGTGGCAGAGGGGGCCTAGGGACGGTGCCCAGGACACAGCCTAATCCCAGTTTCCAGGACAAGGCAGCATGAACAGGGCAAACAGAAGGGAGAAGGACCCCTCCCTGGAGGCTGGAACCCCAAGCATGCAAATGGAGCAGAGAGGGGCATTGCAACGCAAGTGCCAGGTGAAGCTGATGGGCCTGAACAAGCCAGGCTCTGAACCCCAAGGGGTCACAGCAGCCCAGGAAGGGGCCCTGGCGTTGAAGCTTCCTGTAGCCTGAGGCGTGAGGACACAAGTGACTGCTGATGCCCTGGGCCTGCTCTGTCCCAGCAGAGCCATAGCTACGTGCGCCTGCCCAGCCTTGGGAGCCAAGCAGATAGATAGCTAGGTGGCAGGAGGCATGGTGGGCAGTAGAGGCTCGCCCAGCTCTGGGTCCCAGAGAGGCAGTCCCTACAGCTGTCCCACGGTGGCTGACTTGGAAGCCACCTGCTAGTGGCCAGCACAGAGACAGGGCAGTCAAAGGGGGTGCTGCAGGCCCTGTGACAGCGCCTCCTTCTGGAGAGGGGACAGCAGCCAAGCCCCAAGGCTGCCTCCAGAATTAGATGCAGTGTGTTCCTAAAGCCACCCACACTGACCTGTAAGACCATGGAAAGGGAAGGCAACTGTCCAAGGTCAACTTGCTGGCTTCAGGCTGGGCAGAGCCCAGGACCAAATTCCACGGGTCTGCAGCTTGCCAGGTGGCCCTCAGACTGTAGTTGCCCATGGCCACCAAATGCACACCAACACCCAGGCCAACAGGAGCCCGAGTGGGTCTATCAGCACCTCCAACTTTCTGTGCTCCTCCCTTCCTGACCACCCACCTGAGGGCGCCTGGCCCATGGCCACCTGGCCACCCTAGGACAGAGGTGTGGCACTCGCCAAGATGATCCCGTTACACATTACCCACACACAGCACTACTGGACCTTCACGCCACTGATCTGGCCCTGTCCGCTTCCCTTCTTCCTATCTCCTGGACCCAGGGCTCAGAGCCTACTCACATTCCCATTCTGCCCACTGCAGTGCCCACAACACTGCCTGGCACACTGTAAGTGCTCGACCCACACTCATTGGGCCACCAACATGGTGAGAGAAACAATGCCTGCCAGGCCCTTCTAGAAGAGGAGTGGGCCTCACTGTCCATCAACAGGGACCAGCCAGCCACACTGGGGTCACCTTCCTCAGGGACAGGGAGAAAACAGGGGTAGCAGAAGCAAGAAAGTACCTTCCAAGGCCGCTGTTAGTAAGAATAAGGTACACGGAAAGCCAGTGTGGGCCACGGGCCACGGCCTGCCCAGACCAATACATACTGGAGTAACTGGTGATCCAGAGTAGCTCCCCAACAATGCACCAGTTTCAGGAACCACCACAGGGGGTGGCTAGGGAGGGGCACCTGTTCCCTTCCAGCCACTACTTGCCCCACACATTCATGGCACCTGGAGATGACCAGTCCCAAATGCACCTTCCTCTTCCTAGGTAAGCGGGGGCTGAGGATGCTGACTTTGCGCAGGGAGAACTCGGAGCTCTCCCAGGGCCCATAGCCTGGAACTCTGCCCACCCCTTCCCTACAAATGAGTCTGTGCTGCCTTAAGGGACTGGCACACACCTCTCCCAAAGCGCCCTGCAGAGCAGAGCTTAGAGCTGGGGCTGCAGGCTGCCACCAGCCAGGGGCCTCCTGAGCCCTCACCTCTGCTCTAGCACCTGTCCTCAGGTAGGCAAAGGGGTGGGGTGTGCAGGAAGCCCAGGAGAACAAAGAAGGGGCAGTTCTCTGGGGGCAATAAAACAGCTGGCTTCCTCCCTACTCTAAGATGCCTTCAGGACCTCGGCTCCCTAGGAAACCTGAACCCAGTCTGGAGAATATCGAAGATGGGGGACACTGGACATTGCACACCAAGGGATGCTGGGAAGGAGATGGGTCACCCTGCAAGAGCTTTGCTCCCAGGTACACAATAGAATGAGTGGAACATCTTACCACAAAGCCTTCGACTCTGACCAGTTTGTCTACACCGTTTCACAACTTACAGACCCTCGGATACAAAAAGGTACAGCAGTACAGGAATACACACGCACTCAAATGCCAGAAACCCAGATGCGGAAATGGGTGCCACCGATTTCTGTGACCCTCCTTGGCCTGCCCTCCCCATTCAGGGACTGAAGCCGAAGCCCAGAAGGCGGCCCTGAAGCTGCACAGAGCAAACTCCAATGTGTGCGCTTTTAGGTTGGCTAGAACCTTAACCTGATGTGCTTTGCCGAGCTTGCTCCGACAGCCCCTCCCCAGGGACCTCCACCTACAGGGGCGGCCTGGCCCACAGGGTCCTGGAAGCAGAGCCCAGGGTGCTGAAGCGGACGGGCCAGGAGGGTGCAGCGGCCCTGCATATGTGCGCGCGCGCTCACCTGGCCCGCAAAGCCGACTGAAGTGGTAGGGGTTGCAGCACACGGTGGGGCCGTCGGCGGCGGCGGCGAAGCTGTGGCAGCCGCACAGAGGCTTGAGCTCCACGGCGTGCTGCAGGTCGGGCCAGCGGAAGAGGCGGCCGAGCAGCAGCTGCGGCGGCGCGGGCTGGCCGCCCAGGCGGAGGTCAGCGCGCGGCACCAGCACGCAGCCGCCCGGCACGCCGCCGCGGGACTCTACGGCCTCCAGCAGCGTGTCCAGCGAGCGCTCCTTGAGCCGCTTCAGCAGCGAGTACGTGACGGTCTTCAGCTCCCGCTCCAGCAACAGCAGCCGCGAGCGGCCTTCGCGGCTCCGCCCGCCGCCTGCCGGCTCCGGGCCCGCCCCAGCCAGGGGTTCGCCGGCGTCCTGGGGCGCATCCGCCTCGGCGTCCCGTTCCGAGAAGAGACAGCAGGTCACCGTCTCGCAGTCACTCTCGGGCAGCCTGCCCGGGCCTCCTGGCTCCGCCACGTTCAGCGGGGAGCCCCCAGCGCCGGCCCCCGGCTCCGACATGGGCCTAAGGGGGCCCCCAGCGCGCCGGCGCCTGCCTGCGCCCTGGGCGCCGCGCGGTCCCACCTCGTCCCAGGGCCGCCGCGGGGCTACCGGGCGGACGTCGGGGCGGCCGCAGCCTGCGCCCTCTCGTGCGCGCGGGGCCAGCTCTGCTCGGCTACCCAGGCTCCCATCCTCGTCTCCTCCTCCTCCTCCTCCTCCTCCTCCGCAGCCGCCGCCTTCCTCCCGGTCGGGGACCACACGACTTCGCCAAAGTCGCCGCACCAGCCCCGAACGTTTGGACCTGAACATACGATATCCTTTGGCGCCAGGGGTGGGGGGGCGGCGGTCTCCAGTTACCAGGGGTCCGTTCCCTCAGCGAGGCGCCGGCTGCGCGGGCCGCAGCCCCGCATGAAGCTCCGCCGCGGGGCGCCGTGCAGAGCGCGCGCGGCCCGTCGTTGAAGTGGCGCAGCGGGGCCGCAACATGAGGGAGCTCGCCGGGACGGGGCGGCCGGGAACACGCGAGCGCCGAGCCGCAGCCCGCGCGGGGCCGGCGGTTGCACGCACCGGTGCGGCCGCGCTGCTCAGCTCCGGCCCCCGCGCGTCGGGGGCGCTGCAGGCGGCGCGAGGCTGGAGAGACCCCGCATGGGCCCTGGAGCCTCCAGAAGTTGCGCGCTGGTCCGTGAGCACAAAGCGCTCGCGCGGAAGCCTGAAAGGCTCTGCCTTTAAAACCTAAGCGCTTCAATGCATGGGCTCTTCCTGAAGGCTCCAAAAGGCAGGCTTGTGGATACCCTCAATTCCCTGCAAAAAGAAAGGGGAAGGGGCAAAAAGGAGGGGGAGGGAGAAAAAGAAATCCCAAACAAAACCCCACTCCCAGGGCTTGCATGCACGAAAGGCCAACTCGCGTGTCGGGTCCCAGGCGCTAGATGCACTTGGAGCGAGTTACTCCGGAATGTGGTGTCAACAGAGCTAGGAGCTGTAAAAACCCCAGAGCTGCTGGGAATCCTTAATTAAAAATGCAGTCCGGCGAGGCAGAGGTCGCAGCCCGCCCCACGCTGTGCTCGGACGCTTCGGGCGCCGCGGCTGCCGAGGTCGCCCCCCCTTCCCCCCGCCACCAAAGTGCCTCCCGGCGGCCCCGCGGTCCCGGCGAGGCTCGGCGAGGCAGCGGCCAGCGGCTCTTTCTCTCAGCTCGACTCTCTCTCTCTCTTTTTTGTTCTCCTCAAACGCACAGTGAGGGCCCCCGGAGGAGCGCCGTGGAGTCATTGGCTGCCTCCCATCATATGCCAGTCTAGACACTTTGGCGGCTCCGCGGCGCTGATTGTTGCGCAAACAAGGTTTCAAGTTTCTTAACTCTTAAAGGAGAACACGTCCCATTGCAATACCCAAGGCTCCGAGGGGCCGGTTCCCGGGGCGGGCCGAGCCAGGGCCTCCGCCCCACGCCCGCCCAGGCACCCCCGCCCTTGGTCTGACAGCGCCCGCGGCTAGCTTTCGGGCCACCCCCGGGCACGGATGCGCGCGAGCACCGGGACACGCGCGCTCACAGGCACCCTGGGCTGAACGCACCGCCGGCGTGCGCGCCCGGGCTCTGAGCACCCACCGAATCTCGGACGCGAACGGGACGCCCGGCTTCTCCTCTCCCTGATGCCTGAACTTACAAACACGCGTTGCACTTCAGAGTCGTATAAACCCCTGCCCCGGTGCGGGCCAATAAAAATGGGTGTGCGTGTGCTGCTTTCCTGCCCAACATCTCCGGGGAGCTGGGTCAACGGATAGGTTGGGGTGGCGGGACCTTCTGTGGCGGCGCCAGGGCTGCGAACTCCCTGAGCAGAGTCGGGGGGCGTGGGGCCCCGCGCACTAGGGGCGGAGGGCCGGCTCGCCCGAGGTGGGGACTTGGAGAGGGTGGGAAGTGTGTCCTTGATGACTCTACTGGGCTTCCCGAACCCCCGGCGGCGGGCTCTGCCTGCTCCCTAGGAAGGGCTGGGGCTCAGGAGTTGCCCTCCCCAGCAAGGGACAGAGGAAAATGGGGGTGATGGGGGACGGGGTTGGGACACCAGGCGCGGGAAGGGTTAAGCCCGCTCGGGTCCTGGAGCCGGCGCGGCGGGGTACCTCCTCGGGCGCGCTAGCTAGTCCGAGGGTGGCAAAAGTTCAAGCTTGTAAAGTCGGGATTGGTCCCGCGCGGAGGGGGAGAAAAGGCCTGGTCCCCCCTCCCCCTCCCGGGCGTGGCGCCGATTGGCCGGGCCGCGGGGCCGGCCCCGCCCTCCCTAGCGCGCGGCGGTCCCACCCACCCCCGGCGCGGCGGCCCCGCCCCTTTCCGGGCAGGAGCCCGGCCCCAGCGCTCAATGAAAGAAATTCCGCTACTCTCATTGGCCAGCGGCTGGGCGCCTGGCCCCGCGGGGCCAGTGGGCGCCGGCGGCGCGCGGGGCTCCCTCGGGTACCCATGCTCGAAGCCGGCGGCGGTAGTGCGCGACGGGGGCACCCTGGGCTGCCCCGGTCTGTGCACGCGGCAGGGGTGGGGGGTGGGGGAAGGGCGCTGTCTGCAGGGAGGACCCGGAGCCTTACCTGGGCCCAGGTACTCTGCGTGCCACGCTGGCCAGAGAGATGATTGCCCTCCCGGATGAAGAGAGGGAGAAGGAACCACCCCGCGCATATTCTTTCCTGCTCTGGCCACGTCCAAATAGCTCCCCTGGAGATGCATGCTTAGAAATGCGGGTCCAGCTGCCCAGGATCGTGAAGACCGTAGGAAAAGTTGCCTGCAAATAGCAAGTCAGGAGAGAGTACCCCAAAACAAAGTCACCCGCAGTCTGAAGTCACTCCTAGTCCTGGGACAAAGTAATACATTTTAATTTCTTTCTGTTTTCCCAAACCGGGGTCTCACTACACATCCCAGGCTGGCCTTGAACTCTATGTACTGTACAGCCTGGCCTTGAACTCACAACCTTCCTACCTCAGCTTCCCAAATGTTGGGATTACAGGCCTGCACCACCACCCCTGGGTAAATTAATGCATTTTAAGATGCAAAAAGGAAATTAAACATAACATATGAAATTCTTTGCTGCTTCAGATGCCAATTACAGTGTGTGGTTCCTGGCCCTGTACTTTGGGCAAGACAATGGCCCTAGCTTTACCAGGACTCTGTCAGTCGCAACTCAACAGTGTTATTTTTCTCCATGTCCAGATGAGAAAACCTAGGTACAGGAGCTTGCCCATTTACTTCCCCTCTGAAAGGTGAGCACAGCAACAAGTGTGCCCACCCCGACAGGCAGGAGTCACATGTGTCTCCGGTGTCTCTCACACACGCACGCCCTTGAGGGCAGGAGTTTTCCAAATGCAGCTCTGGGGGCCACCTATATGGGACCTGCCAGAGCCAGCTGTCACAGGGAGAGGGTGGCACAACTTGGGGTTAGTGGTGGAGCAGAAGAGGTGGGGGCATCAGAGGAAGTGAGGACATAAGTAGGCACCTGTGGGCCTCCTCTGGGGCAGAGAGGGTTCCAGGAGACCTAGCTCATTCCCCTGAGGAAGGTGTGCTCTGCGCCCTGCCTCTAGGAACCTTTCTGCAGAGAGGGCCCCAGTGGCCCCAGCCTGTGTCCAGTTGCAGGCCCAAGAAATAACTGCTCCCTGCTGCCTTACCTGGGCATAAAATCAGCCAAAATTTGCCTTCTGGTACTGACTGAGCCCAGTACTTCCCTCCGCCTCAGGTCGCCCTGTCTGCGAAGTGGGGTAGGAGTCACAGTGCGGGTGGTTGCAAAATAAATGACGAGAGGACCAGAGCTGCCCTCCTTGCCCACTGCTGAGTGCCAGGAAGCGTCAAAGGGCAGGCAGCAACAGTCTCCCCACACACCCTGTCCTTGGGTTCCCAGGCCTGGCGGCCCATGCCTGACGTGCGTGTGGCCACTAGAGGGCGCCTGCAGCGGCAGGGCTCCCAGCTTCTGGCTCGGGACACCCAGGCTCCCAGACAGGCAGCCAAAAATGCAAGCTGCAGTGTGCTGTGGAGGCATGGATGGAGGAGGAGAGCACCGTGCGCACCTAGGTACTCCTCCCTCCATACTGTGCCTGGGGCTGGGCCGGTCTCAGAGGCCAGCACCACCACCCCTCCCTCCCAGGATCACCACCAAGAGTTTGTGCCTCTCAGACCCATTGTTTAAGAGGATGAAATTAAGCGGTTGCATTTTCTTCTAGTCACGTTGCCAGTAGGGGGCAGAGGTGAGACCTGAACCCAGGGCTGCTGGAGGTAAGTGTGAATCTTAACACCTGCTCTAAGGAAAGCACACTGGTCCTTGGTCCTGGGGAAGCGTCCACACTGGCTGGGAAAACAAGAGCACAGAACACAAAACAGAGGAAATTTTGCCAGGCAGAGCTTGCTGTCGTGTGGCATGGAGAGGCAAGATCAAGGGCCGCTTTGTACAAACACAGACGTTGCAACCACCTCTTGTCCTGGGTCTTTTGTTTTTATGTTATTTTGATACAAAGGCAAATCAAGTTGCCCAGATTGAACTTGAATTTGGCATTGACCTGCCTCAGCCTCCAAGTCTGGGATTACAGGCAGGCCTCAACATGCCCTGCTCAGGGCAAGGTCTGGATGGTAGGGGAGGGGTGGCCAGCGCATTGTCTTTCAAGAATTACAGGGCCAAAGGTGGCAAGCACAAGGTGGGCATGCCTGATATAGCCCAGGGCATTGGAAAAGCGGCCAGGCAGAATTACCTGGTCAAGCGACCTGGTCAAGAATTACCAGGCAGATTGGGGTCACATAGGCCATTGTTGGGTCTTCGGGCTGTATTTTCAGTGGATGGGCAGCCCTTGTTCCAAGGGGGGTGGGGAGAGACAGGACACGCCTCCTGGTGCTGTCATCATTGGTTGTTGCAGTATCAGACTGGAACCCAGGACCTGACGCCCGATGGGCACTCCCTGCAGCACCAACTTGCACCTCTCCAGGCCTCAGCTTTAACAGGCTCCCCCTAACGGCCGCGCGGGGAACAGCATGCAGGAGGTCGCTGCCCTGGCCCAGGCTGCGGTCTGAGTGGCTTGGACCACGGTGAGATCCGTGGAGGCTGGGAAGCAGCAGTGAAGCCTGCACGTATTTATTACCAGTCACCGAGAGACAAGCTCCGTGGTGGTACATGCCTGTAATCTCAGCCACCCAGGAGTCTGAGGCAGGAGGCTCAGAAATTTGAGACAGCCTGGGTAATTTAGCAAGATCCTCTTTGAACATAAAATCATAATTTTTTAAAGGACTAGGCATGTAGCTTAGCAGTAGAGCACTTGTTTAGCGTGCACAAGAATTCGATCTCTAGTACCTCATGTGTGCACGCGCGCACACGCACACACACACAAAGTCACAGTCACTAAGCAGCCCATGTCCCCAGCCCCTTTTGCAGGAAGCTCCTTCTCCCAGCCCTCAGGGAATGGTTTGGAGAAGCAGGTATTCAATGCCCCTCCACAGTGCCTGAGGGTGACGTGCCCTACCGGCTGGCTGCAGGACCCCATTTCCCTTCTCCTTTCTACTCCATGGACCCAAACAGGACAGGGCCTGCTCTCCAGCATGCTTGGGGCTCCTAGGCACGCCACCCTCCCGACACTGTGGGGCCCTCTTCTGCCCAGAATGTCCAGCCTTCTTTTCTTCTGAACAGTTCTTCCTCTCTGCAACCAGGGCCCAGCCCAAGGCTCCCACCCTTGTGGGCCCAGCAGATCCGTTCATCGCTCCTCCCTCCTTCACACCCATCCAAGACACTTGAAAGAGCAAAGCCTAAAGCCAGATGTGGTGGCACACACCTGTCATCCTAGCCCTCAGGAGGCTGAGGCAGGAGGATCGCTGTGTGTTTGAGGCCAGCCTAGGCGACATAGTGAGACCCTGTCTGAAAAATTTTAAGAAAACAAAAGGGGGCTAGTGAAATAGCTCCGCAGACTAAAGTGCCTGCTTAGGCAAGCTTAGGCAAGCACAGGGACCAAGGTTCGATCCACAGCACCACATGCCATGCCAGCCCTGCCCCCAGGGTAGAGTGAGCCCGGCCCAAAGCAAACAAACAAGTAATAGTAATAAGAGGAAAGGTATTGGTACACTTCACTTCATCAACATGGAATCCAGTTTTGTTGTTGTTGTTGTTGTTGTTTAAATAATGACCTTTGAGGCCGGGGAGATAGCTCAGTAGAATAAGTGCTTGCCTGGCAAGCACAAGGGCCTAAATTCAATCCCCAGTTCCAAAAAAAAAAAAAAAAAAAAAAAAAAAAAAAAAGACCTACCATTCAGCTGTGGAAAAAAGAAATAGGTAATCTTTGGGATGAGAAGATTGAGACATAAAGTGATTCCCAACAATGCAGGCAAAATTTGCATATATTTCTTCAAAAGTTTACCAGCCTGGGAAGACATGCAATGAACTGGCGAAGATGGGTCTCTCTGAAGGGGTCCCCAGAAGCTGGATACTGATACATTATCTTTCCTCCCCGTGCCCACTGTGGGTACAGGGTCTCACTACGCAGCTCGGACTCATAGTGACCCCCTGTTTCAGCCTCCCCAGCACTGGGATTACAGGCATGTGCCACCACCCTCAGGGCCGGTACTGGGGATCAAACCTGAGTCCTTATGCTTGTCAGGCAAGGGCTTAGACCACTGAGCTATCTCCCCAGCCCCTGTTTGTTGGCTTTGTAAAATGTATTCTAGGCCAGTCATGGTGGCTGTGGCAGGAGAATTGTGAGTTCGAGACCAGCCTGGGCTACAAAGTGAGCTCAAGGCCAGCCTGAACTGCATAGTGAGGCCCTGTCTCAAAACAGTTAACTAAATAAATAATATGTATTCTGTTCAATAGGTCAGACTTGCACCTAAGACCAAGTCTAAACAATATCAGAGGCTCAGTATGAAAGGTGCCTCCTAGGG